CGGGCTGGTTGAGCTGCGGTTGTTGCCGCTCCCACCTGGTCTTTCTGGGCTGGTTGAGCTGCCTGGCTGCTTCTTCCTGGTGAGGCTTCGAGCTGGCTGTTTGCTGGTGAGTATTCCCAGTTTCTTTCTGGTGTGGGTTGGTTATTGGGGTCTTCCCTCCCCTCTTGGTTTGTGTTGGGGGGGTCCCCTTCTTTTTCTGGGTATGTGTTTGTGTCTGTTTGCGTGTCGGTTGTGTTTCCCGTGGTAGTTCTTGACCTTAATTGGTCGATGTGTCGTTTCCATGCTCGTCCGTCGGTTGTTTGTAAACGGTACGAGCGGGGACCTGTCACTTGGGTTACGGTTGCTGGTATCCACAGTGGGTCCCCGGTAAGGTTCCTTGCATATACTGTGTCGCCTGGTTTAAATGTTCGGTCTTTGCTTGAGGAGTTTGGGGGGTTTTCTGGGTTGTATGTGGGGTGCAGCCTGTCTAATGGGGACCTTAATTTCCTCCCCATTAATAGTTCTGCCGGGCTTTTGTTAGTTGTTGTGTTCGGGGTTATGTGTTGTATCAAGAGCATTTTATTTATTTTGTCTTGGATTTCCCCGTTTTCTATTTTCTGGATTGTTTTTTTTGTAAATTGAACCATCCGTTCCGCCCTCCCGTTCGCCACCGGATGTGCCGGCGCTGTTAATGCGTGTTGTATCCCCCTCTCTGCTAGGAATTTTCCGAATTCTAGCGAGGTAAATTGGGGCCCGTTGTCGGATACGACGACGTCTGGGAGGCCGTGGGTTGCGAACAGCCTGCTGAGTTCTTTGGTAACGGCCTCTGTGGTGGTAGTTTTCATGTTGCTTACCTCCAACCAGTTGGAGTAAGCATCTACCGTAATGAGGAAGGTGTGTCCTTTTGTGGGTCCGGCAAAGTCTATGTGAATCCTGGACCATGGTCCCCTGGGGGTTTCCCATTCCAGGATAGGGGCGGCAGGGGGGCTAGGCCTGGTTTCCTGATATCGGTTGCATGCTGCCACCCAAGCCTCGATCTGTTTGTCTATCCCTGGCCACCATGCGTAGCTTCTGGCCAAGGCTTTAGACCGCATGATGCCCGGGTGTCCCTCGTGCAGCAATTCCAATACCTTTCCCTGTAATTTTTCCGGGATGACAACCCTATCTCCCCAAAGTAAACAACCTTTTTGTAATGACAGTTCTGTTTGCCGGTTCCGAAATGTCCTGAATGTCTCGTCGATGTCTTTTTCGGGCCACCCCTTTTCTACCCAATGTAATACTCGCGCCAGACGTTTGTCTTTATTTGTTTCGCGGGCAATGTCTGACGTGGTTACGGGTAGATCGGGCAGAGCCTCTATGCTAAGGGTGGTCGTCGTGGGTGCTGGGTCGGTATCCAGGTCAGGTAGCGGCGTGCGGCTCATGGCGTCTGCGTGGGTGATTGTCTTACCGGGTCTGTGTGTGAGCCGGTAACTGTAGGCGGCAAGGAATTCGGACCACCTTGTCATTCTTAGAGATAGAATGTTCGGGGTGGCCCTGTTTCCTGCCAGGATTCCCAGCAATGGCTTGTGGTCAGTGACGATGGTGAACGTCCGGCCGTAGATGTATTCATGGAACCTTTTGACAGCGGCAACGATAGCCAGGGCCTCCTTGTCCAGCTGGCTGTAGTTTCTTTCCGGTTTGGTGAGGGTGCTTGAGAAGAAGGCGATGGGTGCTTCTTTTCCGCCGGCGAGCGTGTGGCTGAGGACGGCGCCGACGCCAAAGGGTGATGCGCCGCATGTGACAGCTAGTGGTAGGGTCTCGTTGTATTGGATGAGGACAGCATCCGAGGTGAGTAGGTCCTTGGTTTTGTTGAAGGCGGCTTCCTCGCGTTTCCCCCAAGTCCACGGGGCCGCCTTGTCCAAGAGCCTATGCAAAGGCTCCGCCGTGGTCGCCTTCTGGGGCAGGAAAACATTATAGAAATTAAGCAGCCCTAGAAATGCCTGTAGTTCCGTTTTATTCTTCAGCCTGGGGGCTTCCTTGATCGCTCTGATTTTTTTTTCGGTTGGGTGAATTCCGTGCCGGTCTAAAAGGTACCCTAGGAACTCGACCCTCTCGGTATGTAATTGGCATTTTTCCTTTTTAACCTTCAGCCCCGCATTTTTGAATTTCGTTAGGACCTCCCTCAGGCAGCTCTCCAGTTCTTTTTGGTTGGCTGCCGACACCAGTACGTCGTCGAAGTAGGGCACCACCCCCTTGATTCCTTGCAGGAGTCTCTCCATGAGGCTCTGGAATATTCCTGGTGCCACACTGACTCCAAACTGGAGTCCCTTACATCGGAAAGCCCCCCGGTGGGTTACTATGATTTGTGCCTCGGCGGTTTCTGCGTCGACCGGCAGTTGTTGGTATGCTTGCGCCAGGTCGAGTTTCGCAAAAACCTTGCCTCCCCCCAGTGAGTGTAGGAGATGCTGAACCACTGGGACGGGATAGGCGCTCTGTTGTAATGCGCAGTTGAGGGTGGCCTTATAGTCCCCGCAGGGTGGCCTTATAGTCTCACTGATCCATCAGGCTTGACTGGGGTGACTATGGGGGTCTCCCACCTGGCGTGGTCAATTGGTTCGAGAACCCCCTGACTGACGAGCTTGTTTATTTGCTCGTCGATCTTGGGCCAGAGTGCGAAAGGTACCCGCCGTGGTTTTAGGCGTCTTGGGGGAACGCTGGGGTCTAGGCTGAAAGAAATAGGGGGCCCTCGGTACTTGCCTAGGGTGCCGTCGAACACTTCCTGGAAGTCCCTTGCGAGTTGTTCCTCCCAATCAGCTTCCCCGATGTGATCGATGCCCGTCACCTCAATCCCGAGTGGCGCGAACTATTGTAGTCCTAAAAGGCTGGGTCGCTCTCGGTCCACGATTGTCAATGGGAGCTTTGCCTTTCGTCCCTTGAATTTTATTTCGAACTGGCCTGTTCCGACTACCGGGATGCGATTTCCCTGGTAGTCCTTGAGGATTAGTTTCTGGCTTTCTAATCCCCTTCTTTGGATTTTGGGCACCAGGCGCTTGATTTCCCGCCATGCAACCATGGAGAGGTAGGATCCGGAGTCCACCTCCATCTTGCATGGTTCGCCCTCGATGCTCACTTCCACATATACCTTCCGGGCGTCATTGCTGGACGAATGGCCGATGACAACCGTCTGGTGGGTTTCCTCTCTCTGCCGATTGTCGTCATTTCGGCACCCCCGTCCCTCTCAGCTCCAGCGATTTTCGGATTGGCGGTCTCTGGGCCTGGGGGGGGGGTTGCCGTCTCGTCTCTGGTTGCTGCTCTCTCTCCGCCGGGGGCTGTGGTTTTTCTTAAGTCGGCAGACTCGGGCGATGTGGCCTCTTTTGTCACAGTGCCGGCATATCGCATCAAAAAATCGGCACTCCGATCGAGGGTGGTCGCCTCCGCACCCGGCGCATTGGGGCCCTGACTTACGACTCCGCCGATCGCGCCGGTCTCGTTCCGTCTGGAGTCGATGGATGTCCTCTTCCTCGTCCGTGGTGTCGGAACCGGAGTCGAGGTCGCCATGGTGTGTGGTGGTGGTCTCCCGGAGGCTTGCTTCGGCGCACGCCTCGGTTGTTGTGCCTGTATCGGTGGTCGCTGTGGGTCTCCGCATTCGAGTCGCTGACTTCCGGGTTGCTTCGGCCGCGGTGGCATCTGCGAGGACATCGGCGAGGGCGATGTCGCCTTTTCCCATTAGTCGGCTTTGCAGTACTGGATCTCGGAGCCCTAGGACGACGTGGTCTCGAAGTGCCTCGTCCATGTCCGTAAAGCCACACATGCCCCCGAGGTTCCGTAGGTCAGCCACGAAATCGCTGATGCTCTCGCCTGCTCTCTGGTCCCTCCGGTAGAAATCATGCCGCCTGATGAGGGTGGGCACGGCGGGGGCATAGTGGTTTCGGAGTAAAGGTTCGAGATTGGCCCAGTCCATCGTTTTCACGTCTTCGGGTTTCGTAAGGGCTTTCGCCATCTTGAACACCGCGGGCCCGCAGTGCGTTAGGAAGACGGCTCTTTTCTTCTGCCCATTCGCATCCTTTAGGTTGCTACTTTCAAGGAACATCAGGAATCGGTCTGTGTATGATTCCCAATCCTTAGTAGCGGGGTTGAAAGGCGCTGGTGGGGCGATGCTGGCCATCTCGTTGGTCTTATTTCCTCCGGACACGTGCTTTCGCGATTTAGGCTTGGAATCCCATCCTCGTCTCCAGTGTCGTGTCCGTCGTGGAAGAAAGACTCGGAGCCCGTGACTTAGTTTCAGCTCTTTATTTGCTCCAAGATCAGCTCGGCTCGAAAAGGGAAAAGCGGCGGCTTTTATGCTTTGGCCGCGGCGGCCACGGCCAATGACACCACTTTGAATCTCCCGAGATTAGTTTCCACCAATCGCGGGAGATTCGCGGTGGGCCAATCACTGCGGGTCGCTCGGCCAATCAGCTCGCCGTGCGTCTTGTCCAATCACCACGCAGCATTTACGAGTATGTTAATGACTGTACAGAACAGAAATAAAAATAAAAAAATCTGCTTTGATGTAATTTAAACATATTATTTCTTGTTCTGGCCTATGGAATGATGAAGAACCGGTCTTGGTCTTTTTCAGGGTTGCATTATTTCATTTACTTAAAAAGTGCTGTTGGGTTTTCTCTTGACTTGATGAGATCAAAAAATGTTGCCATTCTTCAATCACTCTTTATAGATGTAATTTCTAGACCACGGGTGTAGAAATTAAGATGAAGTACAGGTATTTGGCATATGTCTCCATAGGCTAAAATTTGAGTTCTATAGCAAATGGGATATATACTATTGAACTCGGTTAAGCATTTCAAACTCTTAATTCCTCAGCTTCAATACCAACTTTATATCTTTGACGTAAGACATAAATTAATGAAATCATATATTTACTTGTATAAACAAATCAAGTTGTTTACATGCATTTGATGTTGTTGTTTTTTCTAACACAACCTACGGCAATAAACTCAAACATAGAAGAAAATATTTCTTTTTTAAAAAAACCATTTCAGGTTCCCCTGGACCATCAAGTGATCACAGTAGTCGTGCTTCTTCCCCTCTCTTTGACAGTGGTTTACATTTAAATGGAAACTCAACAAATACAGTAAGTAGATTAATATTATTATTAATAACCTAGCTATAATGGCAGCATATAACTGACTTTGCCTTATTTAGAAAGCTAAGCAGGATCAGGCCTGGCAAATATGTGAATGGAAACCAATATTGCAGTCTATATTGGGAAGTAAAAAAATATCCAATTAGAAGGCAGTTGCAAACCTGTTCTGTAACTTGCTAAGAAAATTGCCTGAATGTGTCAGTCTAAGTCACCCGAAGTTGAGCTGGATTACTTTGTTGATCTGCCTCTTAAACAAAATGAAACAACTTGAATTTTACTTTCTATAACTGCCTTAGCTTATGATACAGAAAGATAATAAGTATGCTGTGTCTTGAAAAATACTCAAAAAATAGCTTGGTATAACAGTAGCAGAGCCGGCAGTGGTCATAGATCTGTCAGTGAGTGTACATTATGAGAGGATATTTTGTTGTTGTTTAAAATAAATAATAAACAGTTGCCAAAGGTAGTGCAAAATGTTTGGAGTGAGATATAATCATCATATTGCTTGTACCAATTTTCATTTACATCAATGTCTTGGGACTAGACTTTTTATTTTTGTGAATTGGACTCAATCCAGAAAGACACTATATTGGGACATGCTGCTTGAGGCTAGTCCTCATTTAGCAACTACAAATGGTTCTTAAGCAAACCACATGAAAAAGAAAAACACACACTAAGAGGATCACTGGTTGCTTCTGCCTCATTCACTTGTTTTGTGAGATGAATGGCTATATGAATTAGGTAGGTAGGTAGGCAGGCAGGCAGGCAGGCAGGCAGGCAGAGTGCAACAATGCCAGCATTCACTCATTCCAATTTATGTCTCAGGTGCAGACAGTTGGTTGCAAATGCAAACATTGATCAAAAATAATTTTTACACCATTTATTATGATTAATTGCCATTATATTTTCAAATGGTTGCTATCTGAGGCAGGCGCTAAATGGGAACCATCTGCGTATCTACGTTGTGGTAAATCATTCTTAGGTAATGTATTTACAGTTCGTTAAAAATTTGCTTCTCTAATTCAAATTATAACATACTGTAAACAGACTTTATCACTGCACTTAGCTGTAAGGCAGAAAGAGAATACTTGTTCGGGCAGTACATACAAAAGCGAGTGCAATGAAGACCATCGGACTGTACAAACAGATGCCCCTGTTTATCTGATATCGCAGCTCAACTTATGGAGACAAATGGCTGCTCACTGTGTACATATTTCTGTTTTCCCTGGATGGGACTAGAGAGAATTGGAGCAAAACTGAAGAAAATGGAAGAGAGCAAAAAGCATGCTGATTATTTGGAAAAAGCCACTCTCTTTTAGTTCTCTGAACTTGAATCCTCTAATGTGCTACATCACTTCACACAAGATGCCTTATACCGTAGGTGGGTTACATGGTGCAAGGGACAGGAATGCCAACAAAAGACTTTGTATTTCATCTCACCATGTAAAAAAGTTATAAGGTACTTTTTTTAAGATACAAAAAGTTTCCACCCAGGGAAAATTGAATATTTCTTTGAGAACAGAAGCCATGATTTAAATACTGGCGGAGAAAGTAATACCTTTTAGCTGATTTTTGAAAGCATAAATACACAAATTTGCATTTACCAGATTAAACTGTAATCCCAATCGATGGATGAGGTGATTAAGAAATGTTAATTAAAAACAAGTAATAGTAGAAATGGCATCAATTTCAAGTATACTTTAGGATATTTTATTTCCTGTGTGTGTCTTTTTTCAACCCACTCTAGCATTTTCAGAGAATCATCATTCCATCTCCTGCACTGCTGTAGTACTTGTGGAATATTAATACAAGGCATGGATTTAAAATCTGTTTGTTTTTCTTGTTCTGTATCATGTTTATGAGAACGAGGATGTGTGGTTGTTTTTTAATCTGCCTTTTAAAAAATATGAAAGTGTCTTACTCGAATGCAGTTATTCGTCTGTTTTCATATTTCTCTATATATTGTGATCTTTTTTTCATTCAAAATATACATCTGTGAAATAAAATCCATATATAAAGAACAGTACAGATTACCAGAAAAATGCTTTAAAACTATATATATATATATATATATATATAGATAGAT